ATATAATCAAAGGAAGCTCAATCGTGCCATAAGGGCAGGTGTTCAACTATGTTCATAGTAGCATTGTTTGCCATAGCCAAAACCTGGAAACAACCTAAATGTCCTTTGACCAAAGAATGGATAAGAAAAATGTGGTACATTTACACAATGAAGTAATACACAGCATAAAAAAATGACATCTTGAATTTTGCAGGCAAATAGATGAATCTAGAAAACATCAATTGAGTGAGGTAGCCCAGACCCAGAAAGACAATTATCACATGTACTCACTCATAAGTATTTTTTTAAACATAAAGCAATGAAAACCAGCCCACAAATCACAATCCCAGAGAACCTAGACAACAATGAGTACCCTAAGAGAGACATAAATAGATCTAATCTACATGGGAAATAGAAAAAAACAAGATCTCCTGAGTAAATTGGGAGCATAGGGACCTTGGAAGAGGGTTGAAGGAAAGGGAAGAGTCAAGGAGAGGAGGACAGAAAAAATGTAGAGCTCAATAAGAATCAATTTAAAAAAGAAATTAGACATCAAAAATAAAAATAATCCAATTTAAAAATGGGGTACCGAACTGAGCAGAAAGTTCTTAACAGAAGAATCTAAATGGTTGAAAGACACTTAAGGAAATGTTCAGCATCCTTCGTCATCAGGGAAATGCAAATCAAAATGATTTTGAGATGCCATCTTACACCAGTCAGAATGGCTAAGATCAAAGACACCAATGATAGCTTATGCTGGAGAGATTATGGAGTAAGTTGAACACTCATCCATTGTGGTGGGAATGCAAACTTGTACAACCACTCTTGGAAATCTGTTTGGCGTTTTCTCAGAAAATTGTGAATCAACTTACCTCAGGACCCAAAAATACCACTCTTGGGCATATACCCAAAATATGCTCTATCATACAAGGACATTTGTTCAACTATGTTCATAGCAGCATTATTTGTAACAGCCAGAAACTAGAAACAACCAAGATGCCCCTCAACTGAAGAATAAATAATGAAAATGTGGCAGTTTTATACCTTAGAGTACTACTCAGAGGTAAAGAAACAATGACATCTAGAAATCTGCATGCAAATGGATGGAATTAGAACAAAACCATCCTGAGTAAGGTAACCCAGACTGAGAAAGATAAACATGCTATGTACTCTCTCATAAATTGATACTATCTATAAAGCAAAGGATATTGAGCCTATAGTTAATGATCCTAGAGAAGTTAAATAACAAGGTGAACCCTAAGGAAAACATACATAGATTCACCTGGAAAGGGCAAATAGACAAGATCTCCTGACAAAATTGGGAGCATGGGGGTGGGTGTAGATGGGAGGGTAGAAGGAAAAGAGGCCAGGAGAAGGGCCAGGGAAGAAAACTTGAGGGAACGGGATAGTCGAGATGTAGGAAGTACAGACATGAGAGCAAGAAAAGATATTTTGATTGTGGTAGCAATTATGTTACTAGCAAAAAATCTGGCACTAGAGAAATTCCCAGGAATCCACAAGGATGACCCCAGTTAAGAGGAGAGGGTGCCCGAACTGGCCTTGCCCTCTAGTCAGATTGACAAATTTCTTAAATGTAACATAGAACCTTCATCCAGCGAGTGATGGAAATGGAAGGCAGAGACCCAAAGCAGAGCACTGAGCTGAGCTCCCCAAGTCCAGTTAAAGAGTGAGAGGAGTAAGAATATGAGCAAAGGGATCAAGACCATTATGGGAACACCCACCGAAGCAGCTTACCTGAGCTAATGGGGGCTTACCACAACTCCAGTCAGACAAGGAAGGAGCCAGCATAGGTCCAAACTAGTCCCTCTAATTGTAGGTGATAGTTGTGTGGTTGGGGCAAACTGCAGAGCCACTGGCAGAGGCACCAGGACTTATCCCTACTGCTTGTTCTGGCTTTTAGGGAACCTATTATCTTTGGATGGATACCTTGCTCAGCCTAGATATAGTAGGGAAGGCATTGAACCTTCCCTTAGGATTGTGCCTTACCCTCTCTGAGGAACGGATGAGGAGGTGGGAGGGGGGAAGAACGGAATGGGAGGAGGGGAGGGAGAGGGAACTGGGATTGGTATGTAAAATAAAAAGATATTTTTTCTTTTAAAAAATAAAAATAAAGTAAACTAAAATAAAAAGAGTTGCCGTGGTCATAATGTTTCTTCATAGCAATTCAAGGCATAAGAGAGTGAATGTATGTATGCCTGCTTGTCTGTTTGCACTTTATGCATTCAGAAACATGTAGAAACTTGAAGCAGGGCAGTAGATCCTCTGGAAGTGTAGACAAAGGTGATTGTGAGCCATCTGATGTGGGTGCTGGGAATGAATCCACACCATCTGAAAGAGCATCAGGATCTCTTAACGGTGGAACCAGTCTCTCAACTGCCAAGAATGGTCGTTTTGATGCATGTTTAGTATATACACTGACTGAGAGTGGAATTTCAGAATGTGCTATCACGAAACAAGAGGCATCATTAAGAGCTACACTCAGAAGTTTTTCACTTTAGTAGTGAGAAAGAAAATAGTGATTAAAGAGAGCTTCAATTTTAGAAGGTATGGTCTTGTTGGAGGAGGTATGGTCTTGCTGGAGGAAGTGCATCGCTATGGAGGCCGGCTTTGAGGTCACATACATGCTCAAGCCATGCCCAGTGAGGCAGTCTACTTCTAGTTGCCTGCTTATCAACATGTAGTAGCTACCTCTCCAGCACTGTGTCTACCTGCAAACTGCCCTATCCCACCGTGATGATAATGGACTGAACCTCTAAACTGAAATCGAGCCCCCACAATCAAAGGTTTTCTTATCTTGATGTCTCTACAACAATAGGAACTCTAACTAAGACACTCACCCTGCCATCCTTTATTCCTTGACTTTAACCAAGGTCCACCCATTTTCCTTATGTTCAATGGCTTCCTACTTGTCTCCCTGCCTTGTCTGATTTTCCCCTCAATTTTACTATGTCACTATTAGTGAAAGCCTCTCCCTATCCCATAGGGTTGTCCCCAGGCTCTGAAGGCCACTGTCCCTGCAAGCAGGCTACTGTTTCTTGTTTCTCTGGCTCTATCTGGTCTCTGTCTCTGTACATACTTGGAATTCTTCTGGAGCTCCACACCAGGCCACTTCTATTTCCATCATCTGTATCAAGGTCCTTTAAGGTTCACTTCTTTATAACCATAGACACTTAGAAACAACTTATACTGGCCAAGAGCAGGAGAAACTCAATTCACTAAGATATTCTCTCTAGGCAATATCAGAAGGCTTTTCAGAATGATGTTGTACTAGACTTTCAGTACCTTCTTTCAGAGAAGAGTCTTGATTCATTAAGCAAATAAACATGAATATAAGATAACAGAAATCGTGTGGCTCAGGAATCCCATAGAAAATTATATACATAAAATATAAAAGGGGGTGTCATATTCCTTCTTTCATGCTGTTGATCAAAGCTAGGGTCTTGGGCTTATTAGATGAGGTATTTTGAATGACAGGTCACCTAGACATGAAAATTTGAATGCTTGATCCTGAACTCTCTTTGTAGAGGCTTAGGAGGTGTGGCTTTGTGGGAGGAAATACATCACTGGGGATAGGATTGAAGATTTCAAGGCCCTGAGTCACACCCAGTACATTCTTTGTACTTCCTGCTTGTGGTTCAAGAAATAAGCTCTCAGCTACTGCTCCAGTCATCATCCTTTCCCTCTGCCATGATGGACCCTGATCTCTCTGGAACAGAAGCCCAGATAAACTCTCCCATAAGTTGCCTTTGCCATGGTGCTTTATCACAGCAACAGAAAATTATCCAACAGAGTAGGCAATCTCTCCACCAAATGAGTAACATCTTTAGTCAATGACATTTTGAGACAACATCACACTATGCAGCCCAGGCTAGACTGGGACTTCTGACCTTCTTGTATCTGCCTTCTGAGTTTGGGATGACATGTACCCAATCAAGCTCAATTAACACAATATTTAATGCTGCTCTCTAAGAAATGGAATTCTGTAGGATACTAATTTTATGTTGTTTTGATAACTGATAAATCCTCAGTCTTCTACAGCAAGTATGTTTTATTATTCCATCCTACTAATATAAAATGAGAGTCATTGAGACAACTTTCTACATGTATATAACACAGTTTAATTACATTTGTTTTCTTTGACCAGTTTTCCATCCTCCCTTCATCCCCTTCCTGTTCTCTAACCTTTGCTCCATTACTTTTAAGTTATTTATTTTTCACATAGGCTCTTGCTGTGTTTTCGGCTTGGTGTCAAAGTCCTCAACTCTAGATAACTGTTGTTTCTGATTATTTCAACAGTCACACCCTGTGTAATTAGAATAGTTGGCTTTCTTCTCTTCCAGTTTTAAATCCTTGGAGAACAACTGTATTTCTCTCTTGCTATTGATTGACAGGCCCTGGTATAAAATCAGTGCTTAATGAATCATCTAGAAAGGGGAGAGACACATACTAAAACTGGTTCACCACTTCTGCACAGTGAAAGGGGGCCCTGGAATACAAGGTCTACATTGCTGCTGGGATCGGTGGACATTAGGACACCCTCAAGCTGAGTGTCAGGCTCATGCTGCCTTCAGTGACACACATAAGAAAAGCATCTGATCAGGAAAAATACAGGGACTCTAATGAATATGTCTTCTGGGGTGGGAAGACCTCAGGTCCAAGGTACTTGTCATGGGGAGGGAAGATGGTGCCTGCAGGAGTTGGATGAGGTTTCTCTCAGAGAGAAAGCATGACGAGTGAGAGGACCAGTACCTGTGGGTCATTTGTGAGGGCGAAGAGGATTTGAATCAGAGAAGGTGGGTGGTCTTTACCAAGCTCACGCATCAATTGCATAGTTAAGCACACAGAGGCAGAGAAACATGCTCAGATTCAGCAGTTAGATCTCGCTGGTGACCTGTTTCCTGACGACCTGAAACCAACTAAGAGTACTACTGGTGCTCAGAACACGTGTGCTCATTCAATCCACAGGGAAGCTGGAGAGAGGGCTGTGTCTGGATACTCACAGAACCATACTGGGGGATGCCAGTGTTTGTTCCTGTTGTCCACAAGCGTTCAGCTGAAGCCTTTTCACATGGTGGCAGAACTTAATGCAGAAAGTGACCACCATGAGTTCCACATCTGTATGAACCACCAGGTGGTTAATGTTTGTCTGGAACACTGGATGTAGCATATCCACTGAGGCATGCACCGTTGTTCCCTGAAAAATGTGCATTACATCTGTCAGGAGGTCCCCATCCTGAGTCTCATACAGACAATGGAGTAAACTCACAGCATATGGTTGATGGTGTTGGGTTTCCTTTAGGATGTGCCGTTGTAGGTACAACCCTGTCTCCTGAGGCAAACTGCAGACAAAGATATTCTGCATTTCTTTTATCCCTCTTTTACTTGAAAGACCAAATAGGAAGCGCACAGTGGGTGCCTCAAACAGGTCATGTCTTCCATAGACTTCCTTTAGTGCTTCCACAATTCTGTAGATATTCATATAACCAAGTCTTAGCACGCTATTCTCCAATACATAGGACATTGCTGCAAAGAACTCCTGGAGATACACGTGGGCAAAGCTGTAGCTCAAAGATTCAGGATGCTTTTGAAGGATACCAATCTTCAGGAAAGTGGCAATGACATCATCAGCCAGTCCTTGGATCCAAAAATCTCTCTCACTGAACAGGGTCCTTCTTCGGCAGATTCCCTCAGCAGCCAGTGAGCAGAGTGCTCTGAGCTGGTACCCCAGGGCACGACCTGAGAGAGCCTGGGAAAGGTATTTCAGGCAGAGCTCTGTGGTGGTCCGTGAGGTCAGTGAGAGGTCTTGTCCTTGATCCATCTGCTGCTTCAGGCAGGTGCAGACCAGCCAGGACACCCAGGGCACCACACATAGTGTTGAGAGCACCGGGTTTGATTTAACCAAGTTAAAAGCTGCCATTGCTTCTCTTTCCTCTGTGAAATATTTGTAGATATATTTCTTCCGTCCAGACTTAGAGAAACCCAGGATTTCCACCCAACGTGGCTGCCTTAAGGAAGGAATAAGCTTCTTCAGAACTTTGGTTCGAGCTGTGAGCAACAAGGAAGCCTGAGGCAGGACAGATTTCCCCAGCAAACTGCCCAGCAGTGTGTGCACAGGTTGTAACTGGTTCCAGTGCAGACAGAACTTGGGATTCTTATCTTCCAAGACCCAGGCTGGCTCATCTATGCCATCCAGGATGAAGAGCAGCTTCTCAGGGTGAGACAGGATCTCTCTGATGGGAGCTGCAGGCAGAGTCTGGTCTTTTGCTATGAGCTCAGCAAGACTCAGCTTCTTGCAGTGAGCCAGCTCTCTGCAGCTGAAGTAGAAGACATGCTGGAAGCGATCCCTGTAGAGCTGGCCCTTTTCCCATGCTCTCCTCACCTGCCTGGCCAGTGTTGACTTTCCAGTTCCAGCAGCACCCTCTAATACAACAAGTTGAGGCTCTTCCTGGGTATCCGGGCTTGGGCAAAATAAGTCTTGGATCTCAATCAGATGTCCTCTTTCCTCTCTTTTATATTTATGCCATCTTTTCCATACCAAGGTCTCCCAGCCTCTTGGGCAAGGTTTTTGTAGAAGTAGCAACTGTGTGAAATTTTGCAGCAAATCATTTGTTTTCCAAGTCTGTGTGGGGTAAAAGTTTTCTCTTCCTTTGCTTTGATGTATTTCTGAAATGTTTAATAAATAATGGAGCGAAAGATGGAGCATAAATGAATACATTAGAGTTGTTTATTCTTTGATTCTTTCTTTCCTTCCTTTCTTCTTTCTACCCTTCAACAACTATGGCACCTCTCTAAGCTGTACAAAATACTGGATATGGATGTTTGGTGTCAAGAATGTGAGCTTTAGAGCAGAAGAATCTAGTTTAGGTATCACTTGACTAATAATAATAATCATATTAATAATAACAGTGTATGATGTTCATTCATACATCAGATATTTATTGATGTCTTACTCTGTGCCAGACCTGCTCTTGGGGCTGGGTATAAAGGGTGAGTTCACAGACACAAGTTTGTACTCATTCTGTCTGTGGGATCCAGTAGCTCCACTGAGCTCAGCTTTCCCATTTGTAACTTGGGGGCTGTAGTCTCTCCTATAGGAAGCCATGGAGTACTGGGGAGATTACAGATCGTGGAGTCAATGTCTGTTTTTGATATTAACCCATTGACCCCCACCATTTTAGTACTGACAACATCATTCTGTAAGTCTTGAGATTTGGGGACTGATGGGATGGTCTTAGGATGCTTTAGAGTATATGTTTCGGGTCCCCTTTCTCTAGGCCTGGCAACTCCAGGCATATTTTCTATTGCCTTCCAGATATTGGTAACAACAAGCCTTGTTTGTGACTACCGTTTGGATGTCTTTAGTTCCCACTGAAATTTATGTTGAAACTAGTGTTTAAATTCACTTGCCAGTGTAGTAGTACAAGGACAAGTGTCTAGTGTAAATGTTTGGAGTCAAGGGGGTAGGCCCCTTAAAAGTTGACCAATACTTTTCTTCTAAGAATAGGCAAGTTTTTGTAGGCAGGGGTTCCTCTTCTGTACTGCAAGTACCTAATTGTGTGTATGCCTTTTTTTTAAGCAGAGCACTCACAGTCTCTACTCTTGGACTTCTAGACTCCAGAGTGTAGTTATATATACAAGTTCTAAAGAAAAAATCCTTTAATTCATCACTCAGAAGACAGAGGCAGGAGAATCAGGAGCACAGGGCCACCATTTTTATATGGTGAGTTTGGAAGCATCTTGGTACACAATCATTCAGTCAGTCAATCAATTACATAAACAAATAACAAGAATATCAAATTTCTCAGTCTCTGTTTTCTGTTCTGGCAATGGAAAACAAACTGACACATTTGCTCTTGGTGTAACCTGCTCCACCATTTGCCCAGCACACTTTCCAGGCTTCCCCCATCCTGCCTTGGTCAAGGTGCTGCGGAAAATTTGGTGAGAGCACAGAATACATCAGTTCACACAATCAGGTCTTAAGAGACCAACTTCTGGGGTCAACTTGCCTCTGAAATTCAGATCTATAGATCCACTCCCATTGTCTTCTGTAGGAAGGCTTCTAACACCTTCTGGGTGCAGCAGGCTGCCCACTCAGGTCTGTGGTCAAGGTCTGCCTGGTTCAGACTATGTTTTCCTAAGGTGTCAAGATAGGACTCAGCTCCTCCTAGGCCATGCTCTCCAAGACCTTCCAGCTGGAATGTATCTGTTACCATGCACACATCTAATTCCTCTTTAGTTCTTTAAAAAGTCACACTTTAAGACCATCTGGGGCTGCAAGTTAACATGGTTAAAGAAAAAGCTTATGCATTAGATATGGATCCCAAGAATCCCTGTGCACACTGCACTTGTATTGTGGCCCCTGTTATTCACAGTTCAGAAAGTTGACTCAAGGGATCCACATAGTAAGAGGGCTAGCTAGACTTGCTCCATTGACAAGCTCTGAGCATGAATGAGAGCCTCTGCCTCACTGAATATGGGAGAGCAACTGAGTAAGATTCCAGGACCTCAATTTAGGGTGCTCACAAGCACACACACTGCAAACCCCCACATAAGTATGCCCCAATATACATAAAGATGTATACACACATATATGCACATCACAATACACAGGAAAAGAAGAAAATTCCAATAAAAAATCCACAGGAAATGTATGAAAATGGGAAATATCTTACTAAGTGAGGTAATCATGCCCAGAAATACAAATGACACATCTTCGGTGTCATATGTGGATCATACATCATATGTTATATAGTCTGCATATGACCTATATATTTAGATATGAGTGTTTAATTTGCTACCTTTAAAGTTTCTTTTAAATTAATTTTGAGAATTTCTTATGTCAATATCATTTCTGTATCATTTCAGTCTTTTTAGTCTCCTTTCTAGCTCCTCTTGTGTCTCCTCCTTCCCTCTCAAATTCACATTTTCTGTTTTAATTATTGTTGCATACCTTCATAATACATGCATACATATAGACTCAGTCTATTTCATGTTGCTCTTATGCATATAATGCTGACCACTTGAGATTGGATAACCTATAAGGGACTTATCTCTGGAGAAGACTGTGTCTCCCTCTGTCAATAACTATCAATTGCCTGTAGCTTTTCATCTAGAGGCGGGACCATGTCAGACTTATTTGGAGTGTCTCTAAAAGTCAGGAAAGTTATGATGACCCTGGGAAATGGATAGGGTAAAAGATCTTAAGGGGTTAAGAGAGAATAGGACCATTTTGATGTGAACATGTTTGAGGTTTAAGTGACTCAAGGTTGAAGTGAGGATAGGAATTGATGACAGAAGAGAGGAGTGGGTGGGGATGGACAAACCAAAGCTAACGATGTATGGAAGATACTATGGCAACTCACCACTTTGTAAGCTAATCAAAAAGATAGGTAAACAAAGCATAGCACATCAAGTTGAGGCAGGATTGAGCTCCTCCCCTTGAGTCAAGGCTGGGCAAAGTAATTCAGCATGGGGAACAGGTTACCAAAAGTCAGCTAAGCACGAAGGACAGGTTCTGATCTCACCAGTAGGGACCTTACAAAGAGACCAACTGTCACACACATGCAGAGGGTCTAGGTTGGTCCCATGATGTACCATGCTTTGTTTAAGCCCATGGGAGGCCTGGTCCTCTCTAAATGGGGAGGGAGGAGAAGTGGATTGGGGAAGAGGGCAGAGGTAAAAGGGTGTGGGAGAGAGTTAGGTGGTAGGAACATGTGGAGAGGAGGAAGAGAAAACTGTGATCTGTGTCTATAACAAATAAAAAAATGTTATTAAATAAAATTTAAAAATTAGATTATAGAAACATAACTTAAATAAATGCAGGCTAGTGAGCAATGGGTGCACAGTGCTTTCCTCATCCTGGTCAGGGAGGATGCACAGACTCTGAAACAATGAAAACTTGTTGCTGTTGCTCTTGGTAGTCGGCCAGAACTCAGATTAAGTTCCTATTGCTGAAGACACAGTAAACTTTTGTTATAGAATTTAGAGATTCCAAGTTTAACAAACTTCATTGAAACACACTCACTCAGTCACGGAGGTACCTGGTTATATTTGGCTAATGTTTGCCAACCTCTCTGACCACTTGCTTTTGAAAGCTGAGAATGGTGGTTATGAATATAAATAGTAACAAAAAATCAGAAGAATATTTCATGTTTGTAAATATATGAAATTCAAATTTTAATGTTTAGTGTAAGAGGACTGACCACGAAAGAAAGAAAAAAATCTGAAGGGAGGGGGAGGGAACAAAAAAGGGTAAAAGAGCTCACACGTGTGTTATGAAGGGACGGAGAGTATTTTTGAGTAAGAAAGGGAGCAAGAAGAGAGGGAAAGGCATAGGTGAGGAGAGCAGGAGCAAAATAAGAACAAATTTTGATGATGTATATATATGAAAATGTCATGGACCCCATCTCTGGATGCTGAAGAAAACAAAAGTAAAAAAATCCATGGCATTGCCCAGTGCTACAGTATACCATCAAAACAAAGCAAAATGTACTGTCCATGAACACAGCATTGCTGGAGAAGAGCATGGCTATCTGTTGTTCTGCCATCTTGGGCCTGTGAGACTGTGTCAGCAGAGCTGGGCAGGTGACAGAGATCCACAAAGCCTACAGTATCAGCCATCAAGTCTTTTACTCAACTTACCACCTTTCCTCCTGATATGTTACAAACCATGCCATGTTGATTGAGCATTTACTATGAAGTTGTTATTAGTTATTATGTCATATATGTTCTCAGATGAGACATCCCATCGGGACTTGGAATCAATGAAAACTGTCTTTCTTTTCAATTGGTCTTTGCTCCACTGTAGATAATACCTAATACAGAACCCCCTTCCCCATCGCCCTGCCTGCCAGGGTCCTCTAATCCGTGGGCTGTTCAGTTACAGCAACTCTTTAGTCCTCATGGCTTCACACTTGCTATTGTCGTTCCTAAGGTTGCTGCACTGCATGGACATTACTGCATTTGTATCTGTCTATAGAAGTCTCAAGTCCTTCCTGCTTTCTTCTTCCCTGTCTTTCCATTTTGAATGGGGAGTGGTGGGATTAAGTCAGTTGATGTTCTTTAAGCCTGGGTCATATTTTAAGACCCTGGATTCTACAAATTTACTGCAAGCTGGCAGTAGAAGGAATGCTTTTCTTTGAGTGTAGCTTAGATTTCAAAGGTGGCATCTCCTAGCACAGGGAAGCAGTATTGCTCAAGGTCAGGCCAGTGGCACCCAGACTCTGTACTTCCCTGTCTTTGGTGTGACTGTCTTCATTGTCCTGATGTCAGAGAGAGGGAGAGAGGGGTGTTAAGTGTGAATTGTGACAGTGAAGGCTGAATACAGTTCTTCAACTGTGAGCCTTCACTTCTCTAAGCCTTGCTCTTCTTATGGCCAAGGTGGGACATTAGCAGCCTCCTGTAAGGAGCCACCTGGAGAAATCGCCATTACGAGATGGCACAGGTGGTCCTACAGCTTGGAGGTATACAAGTCCATATTTGGCACATCCACGTGGGGTTGAGCACCCTTGTCTACACATGCGCAATTGAGCCTTGAACCCCCTGGCTTCTGCAGAATGGTATTCACCAATCAGGACCCGAGTCCCTCCACCCTTTAAAAGCAGCTGCCTCTGGGACTTTCGCTCTCTCTCACCTCCTCTCTCTCACCTTCTCCTGCTCTCCCTTTCTCTCTCTCTCTCTCTCTCTCTCTCTCTCTCTCTCTCTCTCTTTCTCTCTCTCTCTCTTTCTCTCTCCCTCTCTCATTCCCCGCTTTTCCCTCAAACAAGTGGCTCCAATAAAGTCGTGATTTGGGAAGAATCCTCAATTTCATGGTCATTCCTGTTTGCTGGCCAAGCAGCAGTGCCCCGCAGCCTCCCTCTCAAGAATGTGATAAGATTTAAGTGCAATTGATTTGCACATGAAGCCCTGGGTACCAGGCCTGACATCAGGTGAGTGCTCAACAAACATCTGATGACCCCCTGACCACCTGGGAAAGTCAGTGATATGGAATCCTATGGTAATGGATTCTCCTGACTATCAGTTCTCTGCCCAGAAAGCCAGCTGTGTTCTTGAGCCTGAAACCACACTGTCCTTAATTCCAAGAGCCTCATGGGAGCAGTGCTGAGCCCAACAGTGGGACTCTAGGAACAGGATCTCTAGGCTGCTCTCTAGGGTTCATCGGGGGTCCTTGGTGCTATGCTGGCACTTTGCCAAGGGGACTGAGTCTTAGCTCATGAATTTATGTCACCTTAAGAAGCTCATCTCACCTGAGCAGAGAATTTAGACGTTCCAACAATGGCCACCGCATCCCAGGAGTTTCTTAATTACTGTGCCATGGGTTAGAAGGAGGTTCCCAGTTCTCAGACACACCCTCTGACATTGGAAGATTGGGTGACTCTTGACCTGGAAACTCATGGTCTAGGGTGTGGCTGGATAAGCTTACTGAAAGTTTGATTAGGGCTCTCCTAGTGAGAAACAATAGGAAAGAACCAACTACTTCACCAATTCCTACTGTGCTTCAGACACAAATTCTGAACTCTTAGAATGATCCTGTGAGTGGGGCAATGGCTAACATCATCAATACCATAAGATGTAGAATCATCCAGCTGACAAGTCCCTGGTAACACTTGTGAGCAATAGGTTAGGCTAACCGAGGTGCCACCTTTATTGTGGGTGGTAACATTCCAAGGGCTGGAGTCCTGGACTTAATACAAAGGAGAAAATGGGCTGAGCACCAGCAATCATCTCTCTGCCCTCCGACTAAACACAATGTGAGCAGCTGTTTCTGTCTCTTGCAGCTATGGCTTTCCTGTTAAAATGTACTGAATTCTCAATCTGTGAGCCAAATGAACCCTTTCTTTTTAAAATTGCTTTTTTCAGATGTTTCATTCCAAAAACATGCGAAGCAACTACTACCTCCAAGGCACTAACCTTTAATAGGATCTCACTATGTAGCTCAAGGTATCTTGAGCTCAGGTTCCTCCTGTCTCTGTTTCCCCAGTTCTGGGATTACAAGAATATGTCTGTGCATAGTTAATAATATTAGTTTTAATCCATATCATTTTTCTTAGTTTTTTCCCTAAAACTTCTAGGTGGAAATAGTGTACAGAAGGCAGAGAGATTCTGACAGACGTCCTAGGACTGAGGTCCATATTTCAAATAATAGCTGACAGTTACTAAGTGACATCCTAAGGTGGGTGGACATCTTTACTCTCAGGCACAGTTTCATAGCCAACAACTTAAGCATAGAAGTTTGAGATGTAGTGGAATTGCTTTAAATGGAATAACTGGGCAGCTGAGAACAGTGAGGGAAAAGGCAAGAGAGAAAAATGTTGGTGGAAGAATAAGAGGAGCCCTTGTGGAAACAGTTTAACCTCTGCTACAATACCATCAGTGGAGTCAACCCAAAGTCCATGTGCGGGGACTTGTGTGGAGCATGAAGATGTGAGATCTGGACTTGTTGTAGAGGTGGCAGTGGAGCCAACAGTGAGCAGTGTGAAGGCTCAGGTGGTGATGACTGGATACAGAAGGATAGAGTGATTTGTTCCATGTCACCCAGGAAGTGAAATATGGGTGACTACTGAGGGTAATGGAGTTTGACTCTATGGTCAACATTTGCAAAGTTTAATGTGGGGTTGGGTAGCAACGGACTTTGAAGGGAAAAGCAAGGGTTAGGTGTGGGCAGGACTTTCACAGAGCAGCAACAGGATGGAGGAAGTCATTTCTCAGGCTCCGCATCTGTTTCTGTGTGCTGTGAGCTTGGACAAGTTAACCTCTCTCTCTAAACCCTGTGCACTGGAGAGAGCTGGCTACTTTGATGCCTGAAAAGAGGAAGAAGCAAGGGTGTGGCCTGAATAATTGGGAAGGAAATAAGGGGGTCAGTTGAAGAAACCGACTGAAGCTAAGGCAGGAGCATACCCTTTTCACAGGCTCCATCTCAAAGGAAGAGACCTGCTTGGAGCTTCAAGACCTACATGACCTCTAGGCTTTCAGTGCCTACTCAGATTCTGAGCTGAATTCTGGTTGTCAGTTGGTTGGCTCATTGCTGATCCACAGGGTTCTAGTCCCCCCATCTGTCAATGCAACTTCAGCACTGCAGAGCCCAGAGGGTCATTTCTATCCTGTGACTCTTAGCACTCCACCATGGCTCCTCTGCCCCTTCCATTTGAGTCCTTCACCCCAGGTTCCCACACAGTTGGAGTCTCATCTGTGAAGAAAAATCATCGATGTGGACTTGAGCCCACAGCCCTTAGTTTAGCTTACATTTGCGTCTGAATCCAGATTCATCAGGATTAACAAGTTTTCTTTTTGACATTGCAGAGTGTCTCCAAGATTCATGGCTTAATCCCTGTGATTCCAGTAAGTGAGGCGGGCTAGGGACTCCAACTTTAACAAAGCTTGTGGGGCCAACAACCGAGGAAGAATGTCCTGTAGGAAGGAGAAAAGTAGTTGTGTGTTTGTCAGAGCAGCAGAGGTACGAGCCAGAGGAGCAAGGGATGGTCCTACCTACTTACCCTCCACCCTTCCCCATAGTCTCATGGGGGAGAATGACTCTCTCACAAGTGGTGCTGAGAAATGGTTCTGCAGTGGGTTCTTGAAGTTCACACACCTGCCTCAAGTCTCTATTCCTCTCTGGGCCTCAGCTTCCTCATGTGGGGCTCTGAGATTTTGTCCCACAGTGTTACAAATTATAACAATAACAGTAGCAGAAATTGTATGAGATTGTCCTTACAATTATTGAACATTTATTGATGATTAGACTGTTTAATATTTAATGTGGATTATTACGTTACTGCCACAGCCCAAAGAGACAGGTGTTTGCTCTCCCATTTCCCAGGTGAAGATCTAGAGGCAGAGGGCTATAAAGTGACTTGTCCATTGAGGTAGAGCCAGGACTGGAATCTGCCTCTGCCCAGATCCAAGGTCTGGCTTTGTAACATCAGTGTCACCAAGCACCCCTTTGGGATTTGGCTTGAACCGTGTGTTCACCCGTCTCAGTGCCCCTTTGTATGTCGGCCTCTCCCAACTATAGCTCCTGAGTGCTCCTTCCCAGGGGCTGCAAGCACCACCTGGGGACATGAGAAAGCAGATGTACAAGAGGGTATGGCTTTAGGTTTCATTTAAGGCTTTTGTAAGCCTTCCAATACCAGCCTATCCTGGACCTGGGACTTTTGACAGGAGGTTAGCCTGCCCACGGAAACTCTGGCAGGAGTGCTCAGTGGTGATGAAGGGGTCATACCAGTAGTGGCATGGTGTCTTTGGTGTACTTACTTAGCATTAAGTCCTCCTCTGACAGAAAAGAGGGACCCTGGAAGTGGAAGATCATCTCTTCATCCACATGCTGAGGCATCTCTGTGGCATTTCCCAACAGTTCCTCAACTTCTACTGTTCCATAAGAACTCGCACATTCCATGATGTAGTCCAGCTTCCACTGGTCCTGCTCCATATCTCCCTTCTGTTGTTGCCCCAAGGAGGAGACCTCTGGATTCTTGTCTCCTTCAGACATTTCGACTCTGGAAAAAGGTGTTTGATTGAAACTGGTGGAGGAAAGCAGGAAATAGAAGAAAGAGCGCAGAAACCTCTATAGAGACAGATGTTCCTCTGATCAGAGCAACTGAAGGACTCCAGTCCCTTCTTGGGATGGAGAATGTCTCTAGGTGCAGGGCTTGAACTTTATAGGGCAGACGAGGGAGGTCTGGGAGGGAATTTTATCAGTGGATGTGTTCTCCTCAGTTTCCTGAATGATGCCAGCAAACGTTCTTACTGTGTTGACTTTCCCGTCAGGCAGGCAGGCTTATCATTAGGACGAGACAGGGGTTTCACAGCTTGTCTAAGGCTTCTTCTTTAATGTTTAACCCTTCATTCCAGACCCTGGAGACAGATAAAAAGAAGTGCAGGAAGGTTTATCTCTCATTGACTGTTTTCTGTGGGAGGAGAATGATGGAGGTGGGGCTAGGATCTGTCCCTACAGTTTAAGGGGTCAGAAGTTAGGGTGACTTCATGTAGCAGGAAAAGAGTTTTGACTTGATCTGCTGCAGTGGATCCTGTGATCGCTGTCATTCACTTCTGGAGAAACCTGTAAACACAGTTAATAGACAGAGCTATAGTGAGTAAGATGAGACCAAAGACAGGGGACCCGGTAAGCTCCAAGCCAGGGTACCCATTGTCCTAATGTGGACCTAATGATGACAGTGATTTGATTCAGAAAGAACTTGCATGAAACTTGTAAAGTGCAAGGTAAAAATGGAAGTTTGAGGATAAGGAGGAATGGAAAGATCAAGGGGAAAAGCTAGAGTGGGACAGAACCAGAAGCCCGTCTTTAGGAAGATGACTGACAATGAATATTTGTCTATTTTTAAATTAAGTCTTGGGCCCTCTCTACTAGTTGGGTTTGTTGGTGCAGAATTCGCACTGTTCCTGGAGGAGGGCACAGCTCCCACCACCACCAGCAGACAGGACATCTAGGTCTCTAACTTTGGAGAACCACAGCAGCAAAGACTTGGCCCAGGCCTAACTATGGAACATAATGTAGAGGGGGAGTGGGAAGGTGGCATCTGGAGAGTGGAGGGTGGGGAAATGTAGGAATGGGAAAGCAAGAGGATGAAAGGATGCAGGGCATGGAGCATGACAGCTTGGAGGATTAGGGGATGGAAATCAAGGGAGAAGGGTTGGGGATGGAGGAAAGGGTGCTGGGATTACAGGGACAGGAGCTGAGAGGATAGGGAGACAGGGATGGAGGGTGCAGGGATGGAGGGTACAGGATGAAACTCACAACTCTGTGTTCCTCAGATTCTTCCTTTTCTAGTGTTTCATTCTAAGGAAATTAATCCTTCAGCCATTACTGTGACAAAGGGTGAGGTGGGGAGATTTGCCACAGAGGGGGACTCAAGAGTTCAATCAGAGTTCAGGCTAGGGTCTATGAAGGAATTTAGAAGTCCATGGGCACCACAAGGAGGAACATTGCAAAGTCAACTAAGCTGGAAGAATAAGTTACCCAGAGAAAAGAGCCACATGAACAAGTGTGGTGAGTTAGAGTCAACCAAAGACTTTCCCAGAATCTTGACAAAAGGAAAAAAGTAACTCTATTTCTGTGTTCTTGTCCAGAAGTGGACTTGGTGAGACCTATCTGAGACTGGAGCCAGTGCCTTGGAAGAATTGAAGTTGTAGCTTCTGGGGATCTGTCTCTTCCCCCTGGGCTGTGGTTATCAATGTGTTTGAGGGGTCCTGTGTCCTTTGCATATTTTCTGACTAAGTTCTCTGCTGACCTTGGCTTCCCCCCCCCGCCCCATATCCCCACCGTACTTTGTAATAAACTTGCTTAGCTTAATAAATCAGATTATGCAAGACCTGTTGGTTACAGCTGCTGCTTTTTTCTTCTCTATTACTTCTCCCCAGTCTTTCCATTTAATACATTCCCATTCGTGACCCTTAAGGCTGCAGGTTCATGTCAGACAGGAGAGAAGAGGGTGCAGGATAGGCTATGACAGGAACAGTCACATGAAGCATACAGGTGAATCCAGCAACCTCCCTCCCACAGAGCTAGACTGCAGACTCTCCAAGCAGGGCTGGAGCCTGGAGCCTGGCTCTCAGGACAGGTCCCCATGTCTTACATTGTCTGCCTTAGCACAGTCAGGCCAGCACTTCTCAAACACAAATGATTTGGTGGACTCTGCTGGTCCCACTACTCACCCTTCTCTTCTAAGGGGTCCACTAATGTGTGTTTCACTGGATAAAGCTGCTCAGCTAGGAGATGTGTTGTTTGAAAGTGAAAGAGACTCTGGCTCCTCCAGGAAGTTAGGCATTAGAGAGTCTGCACAGCTGGTCTTCCTCTGAACCCTGGGAACAAAGGTTGAACATTATCTAGCTCATTTCCTGTTGTGAAGTCACTGCAGGTGCTTTGGCTGGAGGAGTCAGGTTTAAAAGCTTCATTCAGGCCTACAGAGGCCCCACCTCCTTAGTGCAGAACTCATGTCTCAGCCTTACTTCATTTATCTACTATTGCAGTGTATTCCAGTTTTGCCAAGTTCCAGTTCAGCAAAAGGTCTTGTTTATGGTGATATTCTGTTTGTGATTTAACAAATAAAGCTTGCCTGAAGATTAGAGTATGGAGCTAACCACTAGTTAGCCATAGAGGTCAGGTAGTGGTGGCACAAACCTTTTATCCCAGTATTCAGGAGACAGAGGGAGATGGATCTTTGTGAGTTCAAGGCTACCCTGGTCTATGTGAAAATTGATCCAGTCTAGAAGAGAAACTGAGAGAGCCAGTGATGGCTCACAGCTTTTATCCCAGTACTTGGGAGTCACACACCTTTAATCCCTGCACTAGGGAGGTGGAAACAGGAAGGGATATGGCTGGACAGAGACAGGAATATAAGGCAGGAGGAGACAGGAGTGGGTATTTAGTCTGAGGATATGCTGTGTAGTTCTCCATTGTGCAAATGCACCACATTTTCCTTATCTATTCTTTGTCAAGGGGCATTTAGGTTGTTTCCAGTTTCTGGCTATGACAATCAATGCTGCTATGTACATAGTTGAGCACATGTCTTTGTGGTATGGTTGAACATCCTTTGGGAATATACCCAAAAGTGGTATTTCTGGGTTTTGAGAAAGGTTGTTTTCTAATTTTCTGAGAAATCACCATACTGATATTCAAACTGGCTGTACCAGCTTGAACTCCCACCAGCAATACAGGAGTGTTACTTGTACACTACATCCTCTCCAGCATAAGTTGTCTTAAGTGATTTTTATCTTGGCCATTTTTACAGGTGTTAGATGGAATCTCAGAGTTGTTTTGATTTGCATTTCTCTGATGGCTAAGAATCTCATAAGTGGTTTTTAAACATAAAACAAAGATAACCAGCCTACAAATCACAATCCCAGAGAACCTAGACAACAATGAGGACCCTAAGAGAACCATACATGGATCTAATCTACATGGGGAACAGAAAAAGACAAGATCTCCTGAGTAAATTGGGAGCATGGGGACCATGGGAAAAGATTAGAGAGGAGAGGAGAGAAAGGGAGAAGAGAAAAATGTATACTCAATAAAAAAATAAAAAAATTTATCATAGAAAAACAAGAGTTTATCTCAGCTTCTTGGTAGTCACATTTTTTTTCAGATGGGCTCAGTTTGCTGGTGGCAAGTTTGGATCTTGATTTATTGATACAAATTTAAGGTCAATTTTGTTATACATATATTGTGCTCTTGATTAAGGTATTTTGTTTGTGCAACTCATTTAAAAATGTAATATATAATTAAGAAATACAGGTTAATAGATAGTCATCTATAACAGTCAAGCTTGTAGTCATGTTAGTTACGTTTTCTAGCTATTATATATATATATTAATATGTATATGTTTATATATATATTATATATATCAGATGGATAGGTATTCTTCAAACCTTTCAAAGACTCATGGAATATGGCATTTAAAATGTCTTAAAAACTTAGGACTTTTTAGGCAATGGGACATGTCTGCTTCTGGCAGTACTAATCTACTTTAAGAGGATGATGGACATTGAAGAAGCTCTTTATGGAGTTGGTTAGCCATTTGGGCAAGAAGCTGTTCTTGCCTGAACTGCTTGATTGTATACTGTATGAACTGGACATGCAGGACTCACAGAAAAGTGACTGCTGAACTTGATTAAAAGTAAGACAGTTCTTCAGGGTTTCTGCTTCGTGAAAGAGTCTACCAGACATTCTGGTAGGACACAGAAAAAAATGACTGACTCTGTCAATGTAGGTACACCTGTCTTTGAAATTTCCTGCTTCATGACAAAGTCTGCCAGATGCTATGGGACTGTAGGCTAAAGATGGATGTCCCAATGTTACAAGAGAACTTTGGATGACTGTCCAGGCAACAAGATGTCTCTATCAATTCTAGAGTTTTGAAAGTTGCTTACAATGCATTTCCTGTTAACTTAGGCAATATTATATCCTTCTGTGGTCTTTGATGGAGTCAAAGAATATATAGTTATAATTATAGCTTTCCTTAGTTATGAAAAAAGATAAAATATATAAAAAATATTGTAGCTGTAATTCTTGATAGATAACTTTGTTATATATAATTTTACTATGTCAAAGTTCAAACCTTCAATTTTATTTGGACAGAAAAGGGGAAATAGTGTGGGAAGTCCTTCTGTATATGTGGTGCTTTTATTGGTTAATGAATAAAGCTGTTTTAACCTACAGCAGGGCAAAGTAGAGAAAAGAGGGAATTCCAAGCAGATACAGGAGAGAAGAAAGCAGAGGCAGAGAGACACCATGTAGCTGCCAAAGGAGAATGATACGTGCCCTTGGGAAAATTACTGATAAACTACGAGCCTTGTGGTAAAATACAAAATAATAGAAAAACATTAATTTAAGATGTAAGAGTTAGTTAATAAGAACCCTGAGCTAATAGGCTGAGTAGTGGTTCAATTAATGCAGTTTCTGTGTGATTATGTGGGGCTGGACAGTCAGGAAATGAACAAGTAGATCTTGCCTACAAATATGGCAGCTTCTC